CAGCCGTGACTCCAGTTAAAAAATGTATTAAAAAATCTGCACATCACTACACTTGTTTTTGCTTTGTTGCGACCATGAAGGCCTTTTTGGAAGCACAGACTGAAGCACCAGTAAGGCCATACATGTGCACGTTTGAGGGGGACGCTTAAGTTATTTATGGGAAATGCATATCCATGTTGCCAAGGACAACATTAGTTACCTTTGGATTATTCACTTAAGTGTGATTTCTGTGGAAAGCTGTAATTCATCACCAGCACTGCGGGGACTTGTCTTACCAAGGAGGGTTTTTTTCCTTTTTTCTCTCATTTTGTGCAGTAAAGCCACAGTCTGATGTCATTACCAGGAAATGGAGATATTTTGGGGCTCAGCTCTCTTTTATATGGATTTTGTCCTCATCCCTTGTTCTGGGGAAATGCTGACAAATCTGATTCTTGGTGCCAAAATTCTGAGTAAAACCCTGTCATTGTTGAAGGCCAACAAAAGAGTGGTTCATTTAGACTCAATTTATTATAATTTTTTTCTTTGTGTCAACAAATAGCAACACTGGCTTGGCAAATGGCTTCGTAGGAAAGAAAACACCAAACCCTGGCTCTCTGCGTGTGTGTCTGAGGGAAAGACAGAGGTAGTGAGAGCATTCAGATTTTAAATAATCAATTTTTACAAAGGAAGTCCTGTCATGGTTATTGATTGTAACATATGACAAATAACTATTAATCACATAACTTTTAATTAGAAATATGCCCAAGACTGTTTGGTGCAGTTCATTAGAGAGTTCACAGAAGCTAAAATGGTGATTTCTGCATCTGCATTGCATCCTACTTGCCTAAAGCGCAGCTGCACAGGGGCATCACTTGTAAAATCATCAACTGTAATAACAGGAATAAATGTGTGCAGCGAGGAAAAGGTCACTGACATGAGACTATACAGTTCCACTCACTTAAGCATGAATTTTGCATGTGTTTATAAGAAAGTGGAGCCGTTAAAGTTTAATTAGATGTCCCACATTGATGGCCCCTGATGGTGCTTTTCTTCAAGGTGTCTTTAGTTTATATTATGAGAAGGTGTGCATTAAAGCACACACAACTAAGTATTTTCATTATCTGCCATCATTTCCTCTGTTGATGATCGATTCAATTGGTCTGAAATTATGTTAGAAAATTGTTCCCAGAGCCCTAGGTGATTTTAAATACTGTTTTTTGATCTACTAAAAGTCTAAACTTCAGAATTTACAGTAATATAAAACAGAGAAGCCGCAAATCCTCATATTTACAAAGATAGAACAAGCAAATGTTTGGCATTGTTGCTCGAAAAAATTAAGCAAACAATAAATTATCAAAATTGTCGACATTAATTTCCTGTTGAAAAGCTAATTGATGGGACTGTAACTCACCTGGTAGAGCTGGTGCTCCAAGTGCCGGGACCTAGCCCTGCAGTGGTCTTGTGGTCGAGATCCGATCTGTGGCCCTTTGCTGTGTGTCATCCACTCTCTGCTTCTTTCTGGTCATTCTACACCTGTCCTGTGAGTAAAAGGGCAATAAAAAGCTGCAAGAAATGTTTAAAAAACAAATAAATAATAAAATAACAAATCAACTAATAATGTCTTCAAGCTGTAGATGACATAATAAAGTGTAACATAGTTCCATAGGTGACATACTACTATTAAAAAACACATGATAAATACTTGTATCATCATGATCAAAAAATTCACTCCAAGTCAAACATGTGGAAAAATAAATTATTAACAAATATTACGTAAAAAGGATGGTAGAAAGGATAATCTTACATTTACATGTTTTTGTTTTTTTACAAGCTTTTTTGTTTTGTTTTTTAGTTTTCTTTGTATTTTTGGTGAACAAGTGTGATAAAAAAGACATAGGAGCAGGGTTAGGAAACATTTACTAATTACATGTTAAAAAATGTAGTCTGTTACTTAATCCAAGTATCACAATATTAAAGTAATGTAACTTCGAGGGAAATTCAAGTCAGTAGGTAATTTTTATAAAATATTTTTTGTCATATTCCACTGAAACTTTCCACCGTATACTACTGACAGTTAGGTACAATGGACGTAATCTGGTTTGAAAAAAATTCAGCTTCCGGCTGACTCGTTTTTTAGTGCTTTTTAATGGGATTTACAAGAATCCACCAGGCCTGAACGAAAACAACCAATCAGAACTAAGGAAAATAGTGGAATGTTGAGTCTCACTTGTATTCTGATTATGTAACTCTGTTTCATGTAATCTGTTACTCCCCAAGCCTGCACAGGAGATAAACAAGATAGACATAATGGAAAGACAATAAGAGAAAACAGTTACAGTGATGTATGTAATGATATGGTAAGAGACCAGAAGTAGAAATTAGTTGGGTAGTAAGAAGTATTGCATGTTAAAGGTCCAGTAAGTAATATTTAGGAGGATCTATTGTCAGAAATGAAATATAATATTCATAGGTATGTTTTCATCTACAGACACCGTAAGTCACATTAAATTAAGTCTGCCATGCTGAACCGCCATGTTTCCAGCCCAGAATGAACAAACCAACCACTGGCTCTAGAAAGGGTCACGTTCTTCACAAGTATCGCAGCAACTGTAGTTTCTCCTACACACTTTACAGCCTGTTCTCATTCCCAAGTCGAATAATACAGACGCGAGTGGTGTTCAGTAAGTTGCAATCTGCAACAAATGCTAGATGCCACTAAATCCTACACCCCGTTCCTTTAATATGTTAATATTGTAGTGATAATAAATATATGATCTTAATACAGTACATAATATGATAATATACACTATAACAATCATTGCAATACATATATTATATTCTTATATTATTTATTATTATAGAATAAGGGGATTTCAGTAGTGACTAGCTGTAGAGATGACATCATCACAATATTTCACTCTGTTGTTTTGATAGGTAATGTCTCCTTCATGATGAAATGATAAAAAAGGGAAACACAAAAAAGTTGGTCACAAAAAAAAACAATATATGACATAACAACAACAATACACTATAACAATCCTTATAATACACATAAGCATTTTATTTTAAATGCCTTCATTTTAAAATTGTGGTTATCTTTTCAATGTGTACAGGTAACTTATTCCAGTTCCTGTCACCAAGACCCTATAAGAACATGCACCAACCTTTGCATTAAACCTCAGCAAGCCCAAGTCAGCCACCCCTGAAGGTGGTCTTTGAGATACTCGGGCTCTGTTGTGACACAAATGATCCACCACACTGAGCTGTACTGTAAGACTCTATACTCTAAGGGTAAGAACTGTTGGAATTGCTGTTTGCCAACATGTGCTCTTGGGTTTTATCCCAACACAACCCTGGCTAACCTCTTCTGAGAGATCTTTCACCAACCAGATGTGGTCTTGCACATCTGACCATCGGTGGAGGCCAAAGAATACTAAAACCTCTCAGTAGATACTCTCTACCACTGCAACGGCTCATTACATTCAGTACAAATGTGCCACTCTATACAAATTAAATGCATCTGTAAAAGCAGATGCCATTTCAAGAGCTAACAGAGTCATAATTCAGGTGAGCATGTTCTATAAAACTTCCCTAAACATGTATTAATACACCACCCATCCCTCCTACTCACACACTCACTCAGAAATAGACCTGTCATCTTGCCACCATCCCCTTATCGTATAACTGCTAACAAGCCTATTTGCCTGTGACTGACGTTGATGTGATCCCTAAAGCCTCGGGCTTGGCACCAGATCGCTGCTAAGCCAAATTAAGCCTCCGTCATGCCCACCCCCACCTCCAGCCTAGTGCTACCCCTGCCATGGGAACCCTAAATCTTTAATGACGATGGAGAGCTCTGCGCGCTCCCACGACACAAAAGCGATGACATCTGTGTCTGTAAGTGCCGCACTCCAGAGCAACCACATTTGTTCTATCTCCGCTTCTTGAAAAGAAATCAAACAGAAAAGTTGAGGGAGGGTGGAGGAAGGAGGAGGTGGAGCTAAGGAGGTTAAAACAAAAGATCCTCTCTTTCAAAAGGAGGTTTGTTTCACTGCCCAGTGGTCCTTAAATGTTCAAAGAAGGTGTTAAAAGAGTCTCAGCTCCGCTTCTTGTTCTGGTGCTCTGGCTACGGCCCACCTGCTCACTGCTGCTTCCAAGTCAACGGGGATGTTTAGTGGAAAACAGCCACACTGAACTTAAAGGTCCACTGTGTAACATTTTTAAGGATCCATTGGAATATAATATGAATCGCCATGTTTCTACAGTAGCCCAGAATACCCCCGAATTACAATATTTCAACTGAACTACATTATTGTGACACATTAGTAAAGCACTGAACAGAAATATCTAAATGGTGGCATAAGCTGTTTTATTTCCAAATTTTCCGACTTGTATTTTTTCATTGAACTCAGTGCCTATCACTTAGTTTAAAATATGCCCATAACTGATCATTAAATTAATATTTGTTTTTAAGATAAATCTAAATGAATGCTTCAATAGGAGTGCCTCTGAAGAAAGTGATTCATTTACGAGCTATGGGCCTTTTGACATTTGGCCATCACAATTCCACAGGCTCACAGTACAACTAAAACAAATTATTTATTATAAAATATGTTAAGATACTATAGATACTATATATACACTTTGACTTAAACACCCCCCCTTATTTCTGTGTTCATCACATTCCTTAATCTTGAGTGGCAGCTAACACGAATGTATTATCGATTCATCTGTCAGTTATCTTTACAATTAATCGTTGGTCTATAACAGTGAAATAATCAACTAATTCATTAATTGTTTTAGCACTACTTTCACTCTTTTTAGTTGTTTTTTTCCCATAATACCCGATTTGAAGCCCTTTTTGATTTGCCTTTTGTAATGATATTATATAAAAATACATTTCCTTGCGTTTCCCAAGAACATATTGCCCGGTCAATAATATGGCTTAATTGCAGCCAACCATTTCAAAAAATACAATTGTAACAGAGCTCATGGAGGACCCATCTGCTGTTTTTGAACAGGCACTGCGGTAGTCACCTCCGTCTCTGCTCCGGGTCCTTTTCTTGAGGAAGAAATATGGCGGTGTCCATGCTGTACAGGAGGACGACGGCGTTGTGTAGGACGTTAAAGGGAATCTCACCTTCAAAAACTCTTCTTTCTTCGAACTGGCTTCTGTTGCACACCGCGTCCTACAACCCGAAGCCTTTAAAGCTGAACCTCCATGAGCCCTATGTCCCAGACAAGGACAGCGAGAAGACGCCGGAGTGGCAGAAAACGGCCCGGTATGACAGAAAGCTGTTCGGTCGGTACGGCTCAGCGTCGGGCATCGACCCTGCGTCGCTGTGGCCCAGCCATGAGCAGCTGGACAAGATCATTGCAGAGGAAAATGAGTGGCACCCTCCGTTAAAAGTAATGCTGAAGAACGTCAAGGCCAGGGAGAAGCAGGAAGCCGAAAAACGGTTGGCAAAGTAAGTAATGCTACGTAGCGAACATCAGTCCGTCATTTATCGCACATGTAGTGGCACAAACGGTACCCAGACCTGTACCCGGACCTGGATACTGTCAGTATGAATATTAGCAGTCAGGGTACAGCAGAACATAAACGGCAGCAAAGACAGGTGGAGTAAAGTTCCTGTGTAGCAGTCTATATGGGCAGAAATGGCATATAATATTCATAGGTATGTTTTCATTAGTGTATAATCACCTGGATGTAGGAATCATTGTGTTTGTGTTACTTTAAAGGCCTCTGCACACCAACCCGATTATCGGCCGTCGGACAGTCGGCGAGGTCGGTGACTCGAGTCGGTTCGGTGTGTCCCGTGCCGTCGTTAGTTGGCGTCGGCCTTCATTTTGG